AAAGATATTAGAGAAGACACACAAATCACGTGTTTTGTCCTCAAGCCACATGTTATTTACATCAAAGTTACTAGAGAAGACACACAAATCACGTGTTTTGGCCTCAAGCCACATGTTATTTATATTAAAGTTATTACAAAAGACATAAACCTCGAGTTTTGTCCTCAAGCCACATGTTATTTACATCAAAGTTATTGGAGAAGACACACAAATCACGTGTTTTGTCCTCAAGCCACATGTTCTTTACATCAAAATTACGGAAGACACACAAATCACGTGTTTTGTTTTCAAGCCATATCTTATTTACGTCAAAGTTATTACAGAAGATACACAAACCACGTGTTTTATTTTCAAGCCACATGTCCTTTACATCATAGTTGTCACAGAAGACACAACAAACACGTGTTTTCTTTTCAATCTGTATATTATTTATATCAAAGTTATTACAGAAAGACACAAACCACGTGTTGTTGTTTTTTTTTCAAGCAACATGTTATTTACTTCCGAGATATTGCATAAAAGATACGATCACATGTTCTGTCGTTCATCTCGTCTCTAATTACATCTGACGTATACATTGACACGTTATTTACATCCAAAATAACACATAACTTGAAAATCAACACGTGTTCTATAGCATATACGTACATGCACTACTGTGTATACGAAAGATAAGAACCGTGCACCGTGTCTCTCTACGACATAAAACAATAGAAAGAAACCACGTGGTCAACGTAGCCTGTTTAGGAGTTACGCGCCAGTCTACGCTTTCTCGCTTCTCGTACAGTATTGATATGTTTCACCACAAAGTGAATGTTTTTTTCAAATAATTCTATAGAACGTTTTGTAGCTCTTGGTCATTATGATTTCAGTTTTTTTTTTTAAAGTACGTCTACTTTTGAATTTAAAAAATATACACGAATTTTGGAATGATGTTTATGAGTTTCTGGTCCAAGTTCTCTAAACCCAAAAAACTGGGGGTTTACTTTTAGATAGATAGCCTACAGAGAAACAAAACAATCTTTGTAATGCCGTCACAAATAGAACACTTTGGAGAAAAAAACAGGATCAACAAAATAAGTACTCTGTACAAGGAGGGAATCCTGAAATAGCTTCACATACTGGAAGCAACTCAATCTTTATGAGCGCTTGACTTCCGGTTTTCCCGTGAAATGTGCCTCACTCTTGTGGTGCCAGATGTCAGGCTATCACTGTGAACTCATGTTTTATTTTTAGGTTAGATCTACGTTTATATGTCCTCATTGCTTTGAGATTTCTTATCTGTTGACGCTGGAAGCCTTAAACTTTTCTATATGAAGATCCAAAAGGATTAATCCGATCAAGGACTCAGCAAAGATCCTCGCGCGTTGTCTATGAACCAACCAAAATCACATTCCACATGTTGAACACATTCCCGAAATGTACCTTAGAAGAAGAGGTTAAGCGTCATGTGTAGATTTTCCAGGTTTTAGACGTGTTACACGTCCTTAACAAAATCTGTATTTCTAACCTTCTAAAACAATTGGATAGTGACAAGAAATTACTATTAAAATATCTGCTACAAGTTGCAGAAACCACTATTCACAAACTGACATTATAGTAGTAAACACACAAGAAATTACTATTAAAATATCTGCTACAAGTTGCAGAAACCACTATTCACAAACTGACATTATAGAAGTAGACACACGAGTAATTACTATTAAAATATCTGCTACAAGTTGCAAAAACCACTATTCACAAACTGACATTATAGAAGTAGACACACGAGTAATTACTATTAAAATATCTGCTACAAGTTGCAGAAACCACTATTCACAAACTGACATTATAGAAGTAGAAACACGAGTATTTTAATAGTAATTTATCTGCTACAAGTTGCAGAAAACCACTATTCACAAACT